ATAGACTATGTACTTACCTGTACACAACAATATACTATTATTTCCAGGGAGACATTCTTGATCCCTGCAATTTGTACACTGTTTGCCTGTGTTGCCTTACCTTTACTTCCAGGCTTGGCTGTCAAGGAACTCAGCCTGGTAAATATATGGTAGAGGATCTACAAACATTAATCAGTATTCAATAATCATTAGTGTTGATAAAGTGTAGGGGAGGAAGGATTGGCAAACAAAATGAGATCATTCTCACAGTATAGAAGAGCAGTCATAAATACTATGAGTGATTCAAGCTTGTTAGCAGGTAGTAGTTTGAGTACAGATGGTTGTAAAGTAGGGTTTGAGTTAGGAAACATGTTGAGTGACTCTGATAGAATAGAATGTGTGCCAGACTTGTAGTTGGACAGTAATAATGTAAAGAGCATCCATACAGAGAGTATAATGAGTTTCTCACCCTGACAAGGTAATACTCACAGAATAACCCTTACTTAATGTCTTGAGGATTGAACAAATTAATATTGTATAAGAATACAGGTAGAAGCCTCTATAATATCTTATATTTGTTTGTATGTACATTGTCCTTGAAACTACACAAATACAAGTATTAGTTTGTTTTTTTGTTTGACTTTGTCTGTTGGTTTTTACTTATCTTTCTTCTTTACTGTGTTTGTACAAAATAGCTATTAACACAATTATTAGTAAGAGGTGTAGGTGATTAATACCTTGATTTGACTTGTTCTTCAAGTTGTCAATTGGTGGTGAGAGACAGTCATCCTCAAGTATGTAGTTGTAGGCCTTAAGCTTAATACTTACTGTGTTATTACTCCTACCTTGTTCTGCCTGTCTGTTAAGCTAAAAAAAAGGTATTAGTAGTATAGTTAGGTACAGAATACAGAGGATGATAAATAGCTAATACATAGAATCTGGACTTATGTCTTGCCATAATTTGGTGGCCTCTGTATCTTTAAGCTCTAGGATGTAGAGTATTTTGTTAGAAAGGAGGGCAAGAATACTCTTATACACTTTTACAAGTATATCCTTCTTGTTTGTACTAATGATACAGAATTGTTAGTAATTACAAGAGGAACACACATATAATCACACTTACTACTTTGTAACAATCTATTCAGTATATTACTTTTCTTCTACTTTGTATCCTCTGTCACCCTTGTGTAGGGTCTTGTAAATCTTGAGGGTTTTAACAGTCATACTTACATTCATTACCTAATGAATGTTGACCCAAAGGTCAACATTCCTCTTAATGAATTGTGTAAGCTAGAGGATTCAGTTACATGTAGAGTCTGTAGACATGTACTTAGATAAAGAAACAGAGCAAAACTAATACATACAAGATAGGAAAATAAAAAAGTGTATATAACCTACCTTTTATACTTTAAACAACCTGTCTTTGTCACTAGGTCACCTTCTACAAGCCTTTACTACCTTGTAGACAGGTTGTCACTAGTTAGTAGAGACACATTACTTGTCTCTAAGGTTAGGGCTGGACCCTGGTTGAGAGGAGGCATGGTAGGTAATAAGGCTTACTAAGACAGTTAAGAGTGTTAAGAACAGACTAGTATCTTTGTACTTGTGTTACTAAAGATACAGATGGATTAAGACAGGAGAACAAAGTGGGAGAGGACAGTAAGTAGGCTGTAACAACATATAAGGGAGTAACTAATGTACATTCAGAGTAGGAGTAGATAAGTGTGTAAGTACAAAGTAGATAGTAAAGGGATGTTCAAGTATAAAATGAAGAGAATAAAGAGTAGAAGTTTGTTAGAAGTTAATAATAAGAGCTCAAGGTTCTTATATTGTTGTAGGAGGAGATAAGGGCAGAGGATTTGAGGGAATACAGTAGGGTAGAACATTAAGGAGAGTAGGAAATGTTGTAAGAATGTTAAGTACTTAAGTAAGGATATTAAGGACATGAATTAAGAAAGTCTAAAAGAAGCAGTCTATATACTCAAAATAAGAAGAATACTGTCATCTGACTGTATAGACCTAGTCTTACTTGTGTGTCTCTACACATTCAAGTCATTTTAAATCCTTATATTTTTGTTATTACACAACTAAAGGTTTACTTTGTTATTAACTTTGTCATTTATATTTAGAGTATTAACACTCTTATGCTTGAGATTGTTCAACATATTAAAATGCTTACATTTGTCTGTAAAACATGTAGTAAGAAATTCCAGACAAAGAGTAGACTTACTGTCTATCAAAATCATTATAAAGGTGTAGACAATAGTATTAGAAACCTTAAGAACCTTAGAGAGACAAGTAGAAAGAAACAAAAGCTAAGTGAGAAACAATAGTATTCTGATTCTTAGACAAAGCTCACTACTTTCAATATGAATGAGTCCTAAAATACTGTTAATAAGGATAATACAGTCCTTACTTTGTTTAATAAGCCTTCTACTTTGTTTAATAAGCCTCTTAAACTGTCAGAGAGATTACAATATAAGAAGTAACTACTAAGACAATTTGCTAACCTCTTACTCTCTACTTTGAATTCAGCTGTACTTCTAACTATCTTACTACTATATCTTCTAGAGTTCATACTATCTTAGCTTCATTCTCTATCTCCTCTAGCTTACTCACTAATTCTAGAGATTGTACAAGAATCAAGAAGGAAGCTTTACATGTCTGAACTAAATGAATATAAGTTACTTTGAGAGTATTCAGATCTACTAGACAACACTCCTGACAAAATGCTTGACCTTGAAGATTTCTACAACCTACCTAATCCTACTAGGAATAGTACTCTGACTCAGACATCTTTACTTTCTAAGGCTATTACTAACAAATACACACTATTTAAGAGTATAACTACTTATTTTCTTACTATATAGGCTAATTGTAAAGTGAATGAGAAAATGAATGAGAAACTTGATACTTTAGTACACAAAGTCCTCTTACATCCAGAATTTAAGTTATCAGACTTGTTAGATTACAGCTCTAAGTAAGAAAATACTAGATTTAATAATCTATACTATAATAATGATTACTCTAAGCTGCTTGCTTCAGACAACTAGAAAGAAGGGCTAATCAAACTCAAGCTGCCTCCTAAAGACAACAAGAAACAATCTAAAGGCAAAACAAATGTACTAGTACTTAAAGTTTATAGAATACACTACTAACTACTTCTTACAACTATCTATAATACATTAGACAATCCTAACACTCTACCTTTTCATTATACACTGTACAAGGAGTATTAGAGACTAACAGTATGTATAGTATTAGAGTTACAAAGCAAACTCTCTACTGACTCTTTTATCTTTATCTATCCTATGTTCTAAAAAAGCCTAATTTAGCTCTAAAGTGTGTTTATAGTAAGCTATATTCATTAGACTACTAGCTAGACACTTATGAAGAAATGTAAAGGATTCTTACATAGGATAGTACTGAGAACTTTATCCTTCCTATAGTCCTCTATTCAGACTCAACTCACCTTACAAATTTCAGATCTACTTTACTATAACTATTATATATGTACTTTAAAGGTTAGTCTAAGTACATACATTATAAATCTTTACAGTAGGCTTGCTACTATCTGGTTTTCCATTCAGTATAGTTTGTAATGTAAAAGACATTATACTGTACTCATGTTATTTAAGCTCCCTAAATTAATTCAGGACACATATAACTAGGCTTATGAATGTTCTACCTTAGCTACTCTACTTACATACTTAAAGTACAAATTGTTCTAGGCTGTCTTATCCCTTATCCTTCTACAGCCTAAAATTCTCAAGGTATACACTTCAGGTTTTCTATTTAACTACTCTAATAGTAAATCATACTAGCTCTTCCTAAGGTTCTCTATCTATTTGGTTGACTATCCTAAAAAGCAAGTATTACTCTCTGTCTTCCTGTCTCTATACACTAGTGTCTTTGCCTCAGTTTACACAAGGATGACTGAATATTGTTATAGGATACTCATTACTACTTTGTGTGTTTTAGGCAAATTCTTAAGCCCTACAGACATTATACTAACCAAGTACAACCACTTACTAGGTACTAGAGCCAACTAACAAAGACAAAGTCACAAGTATAAGAATAATACTGTAAGACAAGACAAAATTTCCAGGGCACAGTAATGGATCTTTGAGTTGGGAAGATTAGTAGAATCCTTATAGATAAAAGGTCTACTTAATAACAAGTCCCTTATACTAGTTAACATACATAAACTGTTACTATCCAGGTAATGTTCTTTATTACTAATTTATCTTATTATTACAGAACACTTTTTCTGTACTTTGTAATCACATATTCAATTTCTTCAACCTATTTGTTCCAGACCCTATATACAAGTTTAAGCTAGGTGTCTAGAAGGTAATATTTACCTACCTCTTACACATTCTTTTTGTACAAGACAGTGAGAGTATACTAATACTTAATAGAAGGTAATTATATACTAATTCCCTTCATCTTTCTACAATTTATTACAAAACACTACAGACCTTATTAATTGCCTAACTGTTGTCTAATCAAATATATTCATTATTTTATAAGTATTACTATACTCCTACTTTCAGAATGGATACAATCTAGCAATTCTCTAGAAATACAGCTGTAATAAAGCAATTTGTAGCTTGAGATTTCAAGGATATCCTATAGGTAAGTATCTCCCTCTTGACTATTAATGTATATATGTGTTACAATAGGATGTATATTATATTTTACAGTGTGTAATACTGGCTTTCAAGAATCTACTACTAAAGAAGTATAGTAAAACAATTTAAGACCTTTTATTTGACCTAGCAACCTAGCATACACTTGTAAAGCTTTACATTCATACAGATACAACAGTTTGGCTCCTTGAAGAGACAACATTACTAGAATACTAGGTATAATACTTTAAGAAAACAGTATGTGTAGTCTATAATACACACAAACTCTTAAAGAAGATAGCTGCTTAGGGTTACTGTCATACTTCTAAGACTAAGAAGGGAAAGACAAAGTAGCTGGATGAAAAAACAGTAAAGACAGATGCAAATACAAAGAAACTCAACATTAATACACTAAAATTCTATACTCTTAGTACATACACTTTTACTATTTGTCAATTTGGTATGACTGACTCTTACAGCACCCAAATTGTAAGTTTATATGCCTTAACTCACTCTTTATACTTATCTCAATTGTGTATCTTTCAGGGCAAGTCTCAGTATAAAAGACTCAAGCAAATGTATACTAGAACAAATAAACAAGATACTGTGAAGGGAGTATTATAACTAGAAGGTAGGATTTGTAAGATTTGTGATATTCATACTTGGGTCTTGTCTACTAAAGGATCTGGGGATCCTGTCAATCTGAAGGACCTTGAGGCCTACTATAGTATGACAGTATTAACAAAGGACAGTTTCTTTTTATCCTAATAGCTTATAGAAAATGAAAGTAATTCAGCTTTAAAGATGAGCTTTATCCTTATATCCCTATTATTGTGTTCCTTTCTTCACTCTCACATACACAAGCACTGATACTTTACACACTCATATACATGTATCTACTCTAGGATTTCATGCCAGACCTTTACAGGCATCTGCTCAGCTATATTCTCTCTAGACAGGAAGACAAGATGTTCTCCCTAGATAAAATTTACAGTCTTTACATAAGAAAGGACAGATTGTATAAACACAAGGTATTGTGTGTTAACTACACAACATACAATGTTCAGAGAGCCCAGGACTTGTTGAATCTATGTACACATACTAATGTTATACTACTTTCAGGAAAAACAGACAATCTGTTTGTCTATACATGAATTATTAGACTTTTTCATACAGATGTAAGCTATACTAGTCTAGAACACAATTTTGAGGACTTTAAACAGTTAGATTTTGTTTGGGTTTGCTGGTTGAGAGTCTAGGAGAATGTCTCATTTACTGAGAGACATCTCCCTTAATTGTAATTCTATTATTATATTAATTCTAACACTTTTGAATTTGTTGACCCAGATTTAATCATTCATAGTACTTATTTGATCCCTCAATTTTATGAGGGAACTACTGAGACACTCCTCCCACCATCCCTTACCTACTGACCTGAAGAAAATAACAAAGATTACAAATTCTATTTTGTAAACATGTATGTACATTGTTATAACTTTCAAATTTGGAACATATAGAGCTGACTTGTGTTAGTCTAATGTACTATAGCTTTGTAGACTGTAATATGTTTATACACTACTAAGGCAGAGGAATTGGCCACAAGAACACTTAGTCTTTAAATGACCAACTACTGTAAGACTTACTACCAGAACAAGCTAGTAAGACAATCAACAATAGAATAGGAGAAATAGAACAGGAAGATAATATTGAAGACAAGGAACTCAAAAGTAAAGGCAAGGAAAGTGTTAGAGAGGAAGAAAACAAATTAGACAGTTATACAGGTCTGTAGTAAAATTATAGATACAGTATATGAATATAGTAATTTTAAGATTATATACAACAATCTACTAATCAATTCTTAATACAACTAGTAAATTGTAGTAAACAGTATCTTATAAGAATGAAAATACCTAACAATACTGTTCCTCAATCTTGTATTACTGGCTGTAAGCCTACCCTATAGCTTACAACAGTTTCTGTACTGTTCTGTACCTCTCCTAGTACAGAACTACATTTCTGAACCCAGACCTTCTCCCAAGCCTAGACCTTCTTAGTATAGACCTTAGAGTCACACACATTTCCTCTTTTGTCTTTATACTATGTTTCCTTATTGTCTGAGTCACATACTCTTCATTCTTAGAGTGTATACACTCCTCTTTTTATCTTTTACATTGTTTTCCCCTTTAGGTATAAGTTACCTTTGTTTCATTTCTAGTATATATAGTTTCAATCTTTCACCTTTGTTATACTAGTTCTTATTCCTGACTATAATAAAGGTGAGTTCTTGTATATACATAAACCAGTTCTTATTCCTGACTGTAACAAAGATACTTTTGTCCTGTTAGTGTTCTGTATGTGTTAGCAAACTCAGAACTTAATAGAACTTGTTTATAACAGTATTCAGTACTTCCCTAGTACTGTTCTACTTTTTTTTAACATTAACAAAGTAGTCTTTATTGTACTATATGTTAGTAAGGTTCCCCTAACCTTCCTAAATGTCTCCTACTGTTAGTAAGGATCTTCTAGCCTTTCTAAACACTCCCTACTGTTAGTAAGGCTCTCTAGCCTTCCTGAACATACTACTATAGTTTTGAAGCAAGTTTAGCTCTCTTCCTAACTGTATATAACTAGGTCTTGTTTCCCCTAACACTAGGTATCTTTGGAAGCTACTATAGTTACCTCTCTATTAACTAGAGAAGCTGTATTTACTTCCTCTATACTACTATTATCTATAGTAACTCTAAGTTCAGATTTAGTGAGTGGCTCAGACCTCTCAGAACTAGAAAGTAACACTAGTAAGCTACTCACTCTAAACTACTAGAAGGCTATAATGTCCTGTACTACATTTACTAAAGCTTAAGTAGTTTAGAAAAGTGTAACAAAGCCTCTAATACTGACCTTAAGCAACCTAACACTATATACCCTCTAGTTATAAATCTTTACATTTTGTAGGTATGTGTCTGTCAAATCTATCCTTACAACCTGTATAGTTGTAGTTGTAATAGAATGTTTACAGAACAGTAGACTATACTAGTAGTACAAGTATGACTGGCCTAGACTTGAAGGGCTTACACTGGACACATTCTATTAGGAGCTTTAGTACAAAATACTTTCTACAGACTAAGTAGTACAAACCTGGAACAAGTTACTAGTAATGTAGTAAGATGGTTACAACTTCTAGGAATAGTAGCTGTAGGTTACTAGAATCAACTTTAGTCTTCTAGAAGATTAGTGTCTTAATCCTAATAGGCTTTGTGAACTTCTTAAAGCTAACCTACACTTGGATCTCCAGTTTAAGCTTTGTCTTACACTTGTAAATTTGGTTCTAACACATTCTGAGCAGTTTACAATGTATATAGAAAGGTTGTATATAGTAACCTTAGTAAATAGTCAGATCCCTGATCCTACAGATTACCTCTCAACCCTAGAACTGGTCCTGGAAAAAGAAGTAACAGATTGTGTCAGACTCTATAAGTAGTTAGAACATGTGTGTAAACTGGCAGAACAGTTAGAAGTAGACTGTACAAAGGTTTGTAATAGTATAAAAGTGATACTTATAGTAGAATAGGCCTAGAAGAAGGATCAGGAGAAGTAGTGTATAGGAAAGGTTATCCTTATAACAGCTAGTCTAAAGACTACTTTAGAAAGTACTGTAAAGTGTATTAGCTTGTTCTATATAGAGTACTAGTTTCTGATAAAGAACTAGGAATGTTTCTAATACTATAAACCTTTCATAAATTATAGAGAGGACAGTTACCTAATAGATCCACCCAAACTGGAAGACATAGTCCCTATTATAGAAGCATATATTAAGTCTCTATGTCTGAAGCAGAAGTCTACTACTCTCATACAAACAGAGTAGTTTATAGTGTTAGAACCTGTAAGTAGAGACAAATCTGAGTATGTCCTGATTTCTGACTCCCTCCTATTTCCAGACTACTGTATCCTTGTAGAAGACAGTTCTACTCTGATCTGGATCCAACCTATAATTGACTCTAGTTGTTCTACAATTCTAATTAATGAGAAACTAGTGTCCTGAATGTGTCTTAAGTGATTCTTACTTAAGAAACACATTATTATAACTCTAGCAATCAAATTAGTAAAAGAGTCAGGGAAACAGATTACAGAGTAGGTAAAGCTATAGGTGTAGTTAGCAGATTGAAAATGGACATTAAAGATTGTAAAAGTTTATATAGTTAATAACTTGTATAATGAAATGATTCTTAGTACACTCTTTCTCTAGAAGAATTGGATTATTATTAACATAGAAAGTTAGACAGTTATCCTAAAGGATTCTAACTATGATCTGATGAAAGCAGAAATTGCAGAACTGGTTTGTACCCTACAGCCAGCTTGTAAAACCCTAGAGTCTATACTAACTTTGACTATAACTGTCTAAAAGTGTGTAGAAATCCTGGCTAGGTCAGAGAGATTTGAGACATTAGATAGGGAACTAAAGTAATAGTATTAAGACTACTTCCTAGACACTATACTACTAGTTGTAGAGCTTCCTGAAGGTGTTACTCATAAAATACAGTTTAAGGATCCCTCTAAGATAGTAGTTACACAATCTTACACTTGTTTACAAAAATACTAGAAGGCTTAGTACACACTCATTAATTAGTATACCTAGGCAGGTTGTTTGTGTAGGTTAGAAAGTCTATACACATCACCTACATTCCTCATCCTAAAGGCAGATCCTGTAGATCTCCTACAAATAGTATACAATTATTGAGTACTGAACAGTAACATAATCTATGATTGTACCCTACTTCCCTGTATTAATAAGATTATGAACAATACTATCTGAGAATACATATATACTAAGATTGACATGACTAATGTGTTCTTCCAAATGTATGTGAACCTGGAACATATTCTGCTCACTGTGATTAGTACTCTGTTTGAGTTGTACAAATGGACAGTCATACTAATAGGACTATACAATGTACTAGCTACACAATAATAGTAGGTTACAAAGGCACTAGAGTATCTTATTAGGAAAATTTGTTATGTCTACTTGGATAACATTATCATCTGGTTAGAGTCTGAGGCAGAACACATTAGGAATATTAGAAAGGTTATGTAAGTACTCTACAATGAAGGACTCATCTGTTTACAGAAGAAGACTAAGTTATTCTGTACAGAGATTAAGTTTCTTAGACACCTGATTACTGTAAAGGGGACAGAAGCAGATCTAGACAAGGTCAAGCACATTCTACAATGACTACAGCCCTAGAGAGTAAGAGATGTCTGTAAGTTCCTCAGACTGTTGTACTATATTATAGTATACCTTTTATACCTAGTAGAGTATACAGTAGTTCTTTCCCTATTCACAAGCAAGGATTGTAATAAGGTTTTTCTAGAATAGAAACTAGAACATTAGTAGGCCTTTAAAGTTATTAAGTCAATTGTTACTAGTAGGGAGTGTCTCACCTTTGTGAACCATGACTCAGGTGAGTAAATCTACATAACTACAGATATGAGTGACTCTAATTGGAGCAGTTCTTAGTGTCAGATCCTTATGGAAAACTGTAAGACCTGTAGTATTTAAGTCTAAGTAATACAATAGTGTACAGTATAACTACCTGGTACACAAGTAGGAACTCCTTACAATTGTCTGTACACTTAAGAAATAGTGTGTTTACCTCCTTAGAGTACATTTCTATGTCTATACTAATCATTGTACTCTCAAATACTTAGATACACAGTAGGATCTGTCTAGAAGACAAGCCTGATAGATAGAGAACCTCTTCTAGTATAACTACAAGTTATATTACATTAAGGGAGAGGAGAATACAGTTACAGATACACTTTCCTACCACCCAGACTTTGACTCTGACCCAGAAAACAGAAGTCCTACTCAGAAAGCCTTAGGAGGGACAGTTATACAGATCTCTACAGATTCTGATCTTCTTACAACAATTAGGAACAGTTATAATACAGACAAATTCTGCTATAAACTGTGTACTAACCTCAGAAGTATGGAGGGAGCTCAGGAGGATTATGAGCTCCTATACTTAGACAACTAGTTAGTGATTCTGAGCACTAGAAATGTTTGCAAAACCTTGTACTACTTTACACATAATAAACTAGAACATTTTGACACAAACAAAACATACCTTACTCTACACAACTCATACTATTAGCCTAA